TGATTTTCCCACAATCAAATGCGCTCTTCAAATGGAAATCACAAGTATGAGGTTTGACCTCGACTTGCACTGATTACCACCGGTGACTCCTTCGATACCTTCCAATCACATGAAAATTACCTAATTAAAGCTTGGAAACGTGTCAGTTCGTACTCGTTAATCTGCGCAACAGTCAAAGTCGCCATCTTTGTTTATATGAGTTCCATATATCTCGCACGTGCGCAGCGTGGCGACTACCGCACTTTAATATTTTGTCATTCTTGAAAACAGCTAGCCTTGTGGCTTTGATGCATGATATGTAGCAACCTTGGGTAGGCATCTCTCAGATTAGTTTATTTCACAGTCCCTCTATAGACCGGTCTGGAAACGGGCAGTATTTCTATGAAACAGTGCTCGTCATGGGTAAATAAAACGATTCACACCTGCGAATTCGCGTGCATATCACGTTTCCAGACCAGTCTATAGAAGGACTGTGTTTATTTCAAGACGATGATGATGATGTCTATTTCCTCATTATTGCTACTATACTGTGTATCACAAACATCAGAGTTAATGAGGATTAAATCTAATTGCAATTAAATTCTCACAATATTCAAATATCTTCAAAATCACCAGTTGTGCAGCTAGCGTTCACATTTAGTGTCCACCTCTTTAATTTCGCGAGGGACAATTTTCGGGAATTTTGTCAGGTCAATGAAAGTTGTGAAAATTTGTTGCAGTTGGGTTATATGACACTAAGTGTCATAGTTTGCTCTATCCAAAGCATTGGTGACTGTCAAATGGTTAGTAGAAGCCCTTCCAACTCGTACCCTCCATGTGCGTACTACCGACTAAAATACATGTATGGAGGTTTGTCACAGAGTTAGGCCTGCTTATTGCTAATGAGAAGGCACCCACAGAACTCTCACTGGACGGGGCATTCTTTCACTGCTAAAATGGAGTAGACAAGACAATAGTACTGGAAATGAAATGCACATACACCAAGATATCAAGTTAAAGCTCCTGGCTTTAATACCTCTCAAAATAAGTACAAGAAACAAAGGACAGAAAAGTATGATGAATAAATTCACTAAAATAGGGGAATTCCCAGGGAAGTATGCATTGGTGATAACTCACAGTTCCAGGATACACAGGGTACTCAGTTGAAATGTTGGACCCCATAAATGGCCCAGATTCAGGGACACCACCTGGGTTTCCACATGAGCCAATCAGAATGTGGCCTTGCAAGCAGCTGTGTCATGTAGGCAACTCAGTAGATCATAAACATAGTTTTTTATTCAAATAACAGCACACCTGGTAGATTCCAATTGTCCTTCCAGAGTTGTAAACACCATTTGTTATGTAAATCACAAGCACACCTGGTAGATTCCAATTGTCCTTAGCAAAGTTGCAAACATCTTTGTTATGTAAATCACAAGCACACCTGGTAGATTCTAATTGTCCTTCCAAAGTTGTAAACATCTTTGTTATGTAAATCACAAGCACACCTGGTAGATTCCAATTGTCCTTCCAAAGTTGTAAACATCTTTGTTATGTAAATCACAAGCACACCTGGTAGATTACAATTGTCCTTCCAAAGTTGTAAACATCTTTGTTATGTAAATCACAAGCACACCTGGTAGATTCCAATTGTCCTTCCAGAGTTGTAAACACCCTTTGTTATGTGAATCACAAGCACACCTGGTAGATTCCAATTTTCCTTCCAAAGTTGTAAAAATCCTTGTTAGGGAAGTCACAAACACACTTGGTCGATTCCAATTGTTCTTCCAAAGTTATAAATATCTTTGTTATGTAAATCACAAGCACACCTGGTAGATTCCAATTTTCCTTCCAAAGTTGTAAACATCTTTGTTATGTAAATCACAAGCACACCTGGTAGATTCCAATTGTTCTTCCAGAGTTGTAAACACCC